TCACACAGCCCACGGCAGCTCCGGGCTGCATCATGCTGGTGTGTCCCCCCAGGGCAGGATGGTGACCCCTGGAGCCACCAGCATCCAGGGCCCAGCATGTGGGGCAGGTGATGGCTCCCGCAGTGGGGCTGACCCTCTGCGGCACAGTGACACGGTGCAGGCTGCAGCTCCTGCAAGTGGTTTGAACTCAATTTGCTTTTAAATGGAGCCACTTCACCTCCCGGGCCTGGGGATGAGGGGGCCGTGCCGTGCAGCCCCGTGCTCCTAGTGCCACTCGGCAGCCTGGTGTGGTGTGTGCCGGCAGCAGGGACAATGGCAGCGGCGTGACTCGCAGTGTTTACATGGGCTCTACTTTTTCTACCGATGTCGAGTGGCCGCTTGTGCTTCCTGCCCACGCAGGGAGGTCACCGAGTGCCCGCAAGTGTGCCTGATGGGCTGCATCATGCAAGCAGGGACTGAACCAGCTCCCGGCCCCATGCTGCTGTTCTGCCCACTGCTGCATCCCCCACAGCGGTGACCTCCCCGTGCTCCGCGCTGCCCGCCTGGCATCTGCCTCCAGATCATGCGGATTCAGCCACCGGAGGTTCATTCCAGTGCTGTCGTGGTCAGTCGGAGACTGCATGGCTCCTGCGGGCAGTTGGGAGCAGACCTCCAGGTTTAACCCCCCCAGAATTCTCCCCACAGAACTGTCAGGGTCACTCGTGACCCACGAAATACATCCAGCGCATCCCTCGCCCCTCATCTCAGCAGCCGCAGGCAGCCCTTGCTGCCCCATGCCCACATCTGCCTGCGAAGAGGCCACCTCCTGCCCTGCCCACAGCAGCCCAGCATCGCTTTAGGGCCAGGAGGAGACGGAATATTTTAGGATTTTCTGGAAAAGCCCTGTCCTACTGAATAGGGTAAAGCTGATGGTGCTGGAGGAACTGCAGCGGAGCGACTGCCTTCCCATGGGATGCTCCCGCTGGCAGCACTGAGTCACAGTCCTGCTGCTTGGGGACAGCACTGGTGGCCGGCAGAGCTTGTCCTGCCTGTGGGGACAACTTATCCCCATCTCGGGACAGGGAGCTGGGCACCCTTGTGGCTGCGGAGCCAGAGGTGCCGTGTCTGGGCTGGGGGCGTCAGGGCAGAGCCGTGCCGCTGTTGCAGGTGACGTTATCTGCCATTAACTCCCACTTGCTTTCGCGGGAGCCTGGTACACACGCTCGTCCCCCTCCTCGCCAAACCCGCTTTTCACTCATGTAGTTAAGAAAACTTAACTTTTCTATTACCGCACATTTCTCTTACCCAGGTGCTTAATTACCATTGTCCCAGGGAAATGTCAGTGTGACTCAGAGACAGTTTCCCATTAGGAAGCGGCAGATGAATATTAATTAAAATTGCTGGTGGGTGGGCTGGCTCCCAGCTCCTTTCCCGAGGGGGACGCTGTCACCCCCTGTGCCTGCCCGGACTGTGACCGGCCCCAGGGACGACCTTCTCACCCAACTCAGCACATCTGTGGCACATATCGAAAATAAGACGACTCTGCTCCCGGGACAGGAGTATCTCGACCTCCCTCCCAGAGCAAAAAGAATCAGCCCTGAGGAAGGAACCTGATTACAAACGACTTTTCTCTCTGTGCCTGTGGGGTTTGCTTCATCTCCAGAAGCGCATCTCCCTCCGGTGCAATTACCCTGCACGGAGAGGCAGCTGCACCCCGGACTGTTGGGATCCAGGGGGGTGCTGCAAGAAGGTCTGCTTTTGGGGTGGGGAGATGGCGGCAACCGTGGTCACCCCGCTCCTCTCCGTGCCCCGTGTCCCCGGGCAGACACACCGGCCTTTGGGGCGATGCTGTTGCTCTCACCCGGAGACACTTCACGGCTCCTGGACAGAGCTATTTGCGTAACAGCAGGTTGAACCAGGGAGGTCGTGCTTTAGGGGTGGACTTCAGGGGTTGGGAGGGCTATTTGATAGAAAGCATGGTTTTGGTGTAAGAAATGCTCCTCCCCACCCAGTCTGCGGTGCCCACAGGACTGCTGGTCCCGACAGCAAGGGTTAAACCTCCCCGGGGGGATGCCTGCAGCATCTGTGATGGTTTGCAGCTTCGTTTTGTTCTCCTCCGCTTTGTTCTGTGCCTGCACAGCCCAGCACACCACGGGGGGTTTTTGGGCTGCGCCAGCTGCCTGTGCCCCCACAGGGTCTGAGCCGCCATCCCCCCACCCCGTGCCGCAGTGCTGCCGCCTCCCGGGATGGGTCTCACAGGGGACATCTCCTCCGTCGGCCCTGGGGAGATGCAGGATGCTCTTCCCTCACCTCACCCCGCTCCCTCAGTCCCTCCGTGCCCGTACAGCCCCAGCCCAGGTGAGCCAAAACCCACCTCCAAGCAAAAGCCATGGGGTCCCATGAGCTTTCTGGAGAGCAGAGCCTGGCACCCCAAACGCGGGTGCTAGTGGAAGCGGTGCTAGGCCACCAGCCTTGGGGATGGGGGACCACAGGCAGCTGGCACAGGTTGCCCTGTTTGCCCAGCTGCGTCTGCTGGGTACCCCCTGGAGGGGCCCGGCCCTGCCCAAGGGCCCCC